GAGCAAAGGGGCCTATCCTGACCTCATCCTCAGAGTGGAGGTTTAGGATTCCTGGGAAATGGTTTCATTTCAACATCTGCTGCCTCCTTCCAATCATCACAAGTGTTTTTCTCTGAGCAAGGAGTCTGGTGCTCTTATTTTGGTGGGTAGACCTTGATCTCCCCAGAATGAAGGACCCAGACCATATCTACCAAGTTGAAAGGACCATTCAGTGCCCCTCCCTCCCATCCTCCTCTGGCTATGGCCTTCAGACACCAAGAGAGAGGGGACCAGGTGCTACCTGCTGGCCTCAGCCTCTAGGAGAGGCTGCAGGCACACGGAGCGCTCGCGTGCACATTATTTATGCTCACAGCCCGCTCTGATGACATATGTAAGTTGACAGCGAACATCCTATCAACTTGCTGGAGTGTATCTTGATTGTTAAAACACACTCTTAAAGGAGTACAATCATTTATCAAATTAAAATAGCCGCACCTTGCTTGTTCCTACTGTGTCTTCCCAGACCCCCAGCAGCCTCATTCCTGCTCCTCTGGCCTCCTAGGGACCCTGCCCTAGTCCTGGGCCCTGCTTCTTGAGGACCCTAGCCTCCGCACCCCTCCCTAACCCTCCCCAGGCCAGGGCAAGCCCACTAATCGCCAAGAAGTGACAAACGCCAGAAGCCCCACCAATTAAATTTAAACTCATGCAAAGCTCAGTGGCCAGTAAATTATTATTTTTATTAGCTTGAACCAAGTTCCCGTAAGAGAGAAAGTCAACTTGCTCCCATGAATGGCTCTTGTATAATTTATTTAACTCTGTGCTCTTTGCCAAAGCCTGAAATATTTTTAGCTCGTTCTGTTGTTGGATTTGGCTTTTTTATGTGTGTTTCTGAGGGGTATTTTTAGCCTCATCCATGTTATTCTAACAACCTCCTATGCGTTCTGTCCTGTCTGTGCGGCTGTTGAACCCTGTCTAGCGGGAGAGGAGGAAGATTTCTAAGAATAACCAGGGAGTGTTTGGGGGTGCGTGTGTTTTCCAGGGGAGATGTGCTATCTGCACAATGCTGCTCCCCATTTCGATCACTAATTTGCCTATTGCTCACGTGACCTGGATATTCCTATAGAAAACTCGATGTTTCCTTAAAGGAATAATCAGACACAGTGGCAGCACAAACCCCACAGAGAAAGAAAAAAAACCCTACATTCCACAAACGGCTTTGGTGGGGCGGGTGCAGCCACAGCCGGCACAGTCCCCAAGCCGGCTGCCAGGCCGCCAGATTCCGGGATTCCCGCAGCTCCGCTGGGCATGGGCGGCAGCTTTGATGTCTAGCTCTGTCACTTAGGGAGCAGGATGGGTAGAGTCTTCGGAAAGTAACTCTTTTCACACCTACTTAATGTTGGTAACTGCTGCAGAGACACTCCATCCTGTCATGGAGTTAATGAGGTATTTACGAAAATGTATTTTTTTCCTTTACAAAAAAACCCCATGTGATGAGGGAAGGGGAAACTGGATGGGGTCTTTTCACTCCAGGAAATTATTATTTTCTTTTTTTTTTCCTATGAAGCTGGGCGGGATTTAGGGGGTATTTTATTTTTATTTTTATTTTCCAGATTGGCTACCTGAGCACTTTTGGCAGGAAGGAAGTTTGCAATTCCCTGCTAGAGGGCTTGGGTCCCATAACAACCCCAGCCCAGGGCACCTAGCTACCCAGGCAGGGACAATTCTGAGCCCAAAAAGGGACTCAGATTATGCAAACCAAGCCACGAAATAGTCCCTTGGTGGAGCCCCTGCCCTGAGGAGGGACATTCAGAGACAGACGGGACCAAAGCTGACCTAGCCAGAAGGGGGGAGGGGCCAGATGTACACACAACTCTGGCCTTTCTCCCAGGCCAGGGCTGCCTCCTGATTAAGGCTCCTCAGCCCACAGGCAAGATCCCCAATTGCTCCAGGCAGTAGCGCTGATGAGAAATCTTGGGCTGGTTCTTGTCAATTTTCTTTTTTCTTTGCGCCCCCCCCCATTTCACAGCTTTGCCTCCAGACCATCTGTATTAGAGACAAAATCTAACACTGCACTAAAAATAATAGTTCCAAACATTTTAATTGCACCTTTTGGTGACAAGGTTACTGAACAACACTTTACCACAAAGCCCTATGGCCGCACATAAAGCACTTTCATTTTTGGAAAAACAATGGGAGGAGAAGCCCTGGAGCCCCATAGCCCCTTGGGCCCCACCTTCATCTCCCGCAGGCTGATGCTGTGCAAATGCTGGGTGGGAAGTGGGGGAGGGGGCAGCTGGTGGGGAGACCCTCGGCGCAGCCTGTGCTGTGGTGCCAGACCACGCAGGCAGGGAGAGCGGCTAGAAGAGGCAGCTCTTGGAAAGCCAGTGCATCACTGGGGTCCTTGGCCCCAGCGAGAGCCCAACACTGAGAAGAAACTGGAGCAACTGTCTTGGAAGGGCCAGCTGGGCTGCTGTGATGCTGGCCTGCAACCCAGGACATTCATGGAAATAGGAAGAAAGTCCAAACTGGCCATTTGGAAATCCACACATGAGACACAAAAAAATTGTTTAACTTCATTACATCTATTTCTGTCTAAACTAGATCCTATATATGACACAGACTAAGGCAAAGGAGTCCTGGGTGTAACTCCTTTTAAAAAAAATACATATAGTGAAATCTTAAAAACTAATATGATGTCCTGGCTCTCCACAGTTGCAAAAGGCTTCCAGCTGCAGCCGCCTCCCCTGCATGCCGTGAAGCTTCCCATCACAAACAGATCCCATCACAAACAGATCAGACATCTCCAAGCACAATATGTCCCTCCAGTCCCCAGGGGGTAGAAACTGGGCTTCTAGGAGCAGGGGACAAGTGGTCCTCCAGCCCCAAAAGAGGGAGTTTGGGGGGACCTCCAGCATCCTCTAGAGCCCCAATGCACGGGGGGTAGTAGGGGGGGACTGGGGTCAAGTAACAAGGATGAAGGACACAGACCAGATCAGAACTCAGAGAAATTCCTCACACCCCTCTGTGGCCTGCACTCCAAGAACCACGTGGTCAAACTTAGAATGAACGAGACAAAGGTCCAGGACACCCCACCATGCTCCCACCGGACTGGGTGTTACCTAGATCTGGAAACAAGGGTAGAAAGGGGAAATGGTGGCTAACCAGGAGCTGGCCCAGCTGTGGGCTGCTGAATGGGGTTGGGAGTCAGCAGTGACCTGAAGGGATAGAGAGTCTGGCCTGGGCTGGCCTCCCCAAAGGGGATGGCCCCTAGCCTGCCTGGGCACCCCCATGAAAGCCTTGATGTTAGAGGCCCCTCCCCTCATGGCACTGTGACCTGCTAGGCTAGAGGGCACTGCATGCTGGAGGAGGACAGCTCTCTCCCCAGGGCCCTGCCTGAAGGCTTGGTCTCCCGGCCCCCAGAGAGGGCCACAGAACTGCAGCCAGAAGCAAGGGCTGGCAGGAAAGCTGGGGAACTGTCCCCTGCAGCCACCGTGATCTCTTCCCTCACAGCCCAGTGGGGCCTGCTCTGGGTGGGCAGCATCTCAATGCAAGGGTGGAAAGAGACACTTAATAACCACAGAGACATCAGAAGGGATATTTTTAAATCATTGATTGCTCAGGCAAGTACTTTTTCTCTTTCCAGTTATAAATCTGGAGAAAAAGAAAAGGAGAGAAAGAAAGAAGAAAGCAATGGAGAGAACAGGGCAGTTTGGCCAGAGGCTCCAGCTGGAAAAGAATCGGGCAGAGTGGGGCTGAGCCGGCAGAGAGCCCAGGGAGCCCCAGACCACGTGAGCGTGGAAGGCCCTTGAGCAGTACATGCTGGTAGCCCCTTAGTAATTAGGCAATTTTGAATTTTTTTAAAAAAGGAAATGTATGCTTTTTCTCTTAGACTGCCTTTCCTTCCAACGTTTTCCCTTCTAGCCCTGTCTGTGCCATCCGTTTCAATCCACATACTAATTGTAATCCCATTAAAACAGATATAATTTTATTAGTATTCACAGTTCATCAAGCTAGCAATAGTAACTGTTACTGCCAAATATAAAGAAAAAAAGCTGCAAACATTTCTGATGTTTATCAAGCCGATCTGCGGGGTGACCACGCTCAGCCTCTTGCGCTACCCCAAAGTCCTCCCGGGAGAAGGAGGTAGATGTGGCCCTTCTCCCAGACCTCCCCCAACGCCAGGATCAATGCCCAAAACAGAGGCCTGGGTGGGCTCTGCCAAGGACAGAACCTTTGGCTTGCAAAGTGCACGGTGCACCGAGAGAAATCGGTAAGCTGGGCACCCACAGGCCGCCCCAGGCTGTCTCCTCTCGGGGCACACTCATCGCGCACTCGCCTGCACCGAAATCTGGAGCGCGGCGCAGCGCTGCCCTCCCTAGGTGCGGGCTGCTTGCTGGCCGCGCTCTGGCCATGCTTTGTCCGGCTTTAGCAAGATACCAGAGGCACTTGTTAAAGCTAACGCATCCCCTGCAAACCCATTCTCGCCCTGACACTTCAAGGCTTTATATAGAAACAGGATTTGCTCGTCTTACACCAGCAGTCCCCATTAGCGCTCGCCCCGCGCATGCCGCCCTAATCTGCTGCACCCGGCGCGCTGGCCCCATCCCCCAGCTACAGAGCCTTTGGTTCCTTCGGACAGCGCTTCCTAGTCCTAGCGCCGGAGCATCCCAAGGAGGTGAACAGAGAATGCAAAAAAAGGTTCTTTGGGAATTTAGTTAGTAGGTGGTGGTGGTAGGGGGTGGTCAGAAATGGAAGGTTTTATTTTTAGCCAGCTGCAGAGCTGCCTGAGACCCCCGGGGGACCCCCCAGGAAAGGCCTCCATAAACCACTACTAGGACCAGGCTCCCGGGCTGGCAGGGAGCGAAGCCCCTTCCGCGCCGGGCGGGGAAATGAAACCAAAGCTTGAGAACTGCTCCGGGAGCCGAGGGGCGGGCTCCGGTCGGACTATCAAACATCCTCATCGAACATCCCCATTGCACGGAGGGCCTCCCGTCCTGCACCCGCCGAGCATGGGCACTGACCTGTGTGTGAAGCCATGGGCAGCGGTGACGGGAAGTATTTCCCCGGCTGGAAGTGCGCGGAAGGCTGGCCAGTGGGACCGGCCGGGGCCAGGCGCGCGGCAGCAGCGCCGCGGTGGCCCAGGCTCCCGCGCTCAGACAGGAGATGCGGCGGCGGTGCAAAGTCTCGGCCATCCATGCCCGGCCCCGGCCCCTGCCCCGGCCCCGGCCAGCCGCTGCCTCCTGGGAGCAGCGTGGCCGGGGCCCAGGGGCGACTAGACGCGCGGGTGGCGCGCGGGTGGCGCGGAAGAGGCGGTGTCCGGGGTCACCGGCGGCAGGGGAAGCGTGCCCGTCAGCACGCCGGAGGACTGGGCTTCTCGGCGGGCGGCCGAGCGCCAAGTCGGCGGCCGCCGTGCACGTCCATGGTCTGCGGAAGCAAGCAGAAAACACTCATTGACTGGGGGCTCGGCTGGCCCGGGCCTCCCCGCCCCCGCCGCCACCCCCGCTTCCCCCTCCTAGGGCTGGAGCCGGGGCCAGGACCCGGAGCGCTCAGTACGTCTCCCTGCCACACAAGCCCGCACCAGGCCACCCGGGCCGCCCTGCACCCAGGTCCCCGCGTGCACATGCACCGTCCCGGCTGTGCTCAGCCTGGAGGAGCAGGGGGCGACTCGGCCACGCTGCGCCCCGGTTCCCCTTGGCGTCCCCGCGGGTCCCTACACTGAGGGCGCCGTGTCGAAGAGGCTGCTGGCTCCGCTGGGTGATAAAAACCCAAATCTGCGAAGCCATCACGCACACTCGCGCGCGCACACACACACACACACACACATTCACACGCACACCCTCTCCCCTCCCCCGCTGCCCAAAGGTGTCTCGGAGGAAAAGGCCTGGGGTCCACGCTCTTTTTTTCCCTCGCCCATCATTCCGAGGTCCAGCTTTTACTGCATTCCGCTTAACCGAATAACCATGCTAATTAAGCGAGTAATTTTATTGATTGTAACTCAAGAGTTTTTTTTATAACCTTCCTTTTCTCCCCTCTCCCATCCCCCCCATGCGTCTTTTCAGTCCATTCTTTAGAATCTGTAACCCCCTCCCACGGTCCCACTGGGACCGGCCTCTGCCCGCTAACGCTGTGCCAGGACCCTGAGCTGGCTCCCGGGTGCCCCAGGCATCCCACAACCGCCACCAGCATCACCTGGGCTGCCACGCCGCAGTGCCTGGCCTGCTGTCCCCAAGCCTGGAGCTTCCTGAAGAGACAACAATCACCCCAACCCCCCAATCAGATTCGCCCAGGCTCTTCCTCTGCAGGCTGGGGGCTTTGAAAGTCAGAAATCGTTCTCTCTCAGCCTCCCAAATCGCCCTCGACATCTCTCCATTCAGTGCCTACTCGAGATTGCCCGGCCAAGGCCAGTCTCCACATGGCTCATCAGCCGGTGATTGCGGGATCTGAGACTACAGCTCGGCCCTGCAACCCAGGAGGATTGGCCTGGCCCAGCGAAGCCTTAACCCATGCCCAGGTCCCAGCAGATCCCTGACCTTCATCCACCCCACCCCTTTGCAGGGCTGCCTAAAGATAACCCTCACCTCCTTTCTCTTCCACCCCCACCCACCTTGGAGCCCACTCCCAGGCAAAATTGGAGACAATTTCAGACTGGACTCAAGCAAGAGCTATAAATGGCACCACCATGCACGTGCCTCCAAAGGTTCTTGATCGTTGTCATTCTACATATTTCTCCTTATTTCCTAAACATGCACTGTTTTAATGTTTGCTATCACCTCCAACATAAGGGAGATGGATAGACTCGATATTCTTAATTGTGAAGCTTGCAAAAAGCCTCATAGTGGTTTTCTTTAGCGGACCCACCGTGACAACAAAGCGATTAAGATGTTTCCTATTTCGTAAATACCATTATAAATTGCTATATTTTATGCTCTGGGTTCTACAACATCTTATTTGCAAACTATTTTGTGTCTGATTTAATCTATAACCAAAAACATAATGTATTAAGTGAATACATATTTGTTCAGTTGATAAGCTTTTTTAATATTTATTCGCGGAGCTTTTACATTGTAAATAAACGGGACTACACAAAGCATTCTCTTTGTCTCAAAACTGCATACAAAGGGGCTTGGGGTTCCCTTCCCTTAGGGTATCCACACTCTTCCCCGGTCCAACAAACAACTCTGCTTACCGCTTACCGCTGCGCAGGCTTTCGAGCCAGGCCGCAAGGGCTGGGAGCAGCAGGCCGAGGGGGCTGCTCGCGCCGGGGTCAGAGGAGGGCTTGCGGGGGCCGGATGAGGGGCTTGCGCGCCCGGGCTGGCCGGCGCCTCCTGAGTCCTGGAGGGCGCCGGGCAGGACAAAGGGAAAGCAGGAAGGGGAGGGAGGTCAGGAGCCTGTGGCTTCAAAGGTGCCGAGGGCCCGAGAAGGGTCGGGGCTATGAGCGGGGCTGCGAGGCTTCCCGGCGGCCTCGGAGAGTCGTGTGTGCGCTTGGCCTTTGTTTTGTGGGTGTTTCTCCCGCTTTCTTTCCACTAAGAAATTTCGAAACTGTCGAGAAAGCTCGAGCTGCTCAAGATTCTCGAGAAGCGGGCTCTGGGACCAAGCATCAACTTTACTCTGCCATCTCCTGCGGACGGATTGCTGGCTTAGGTTGCCCCTTTCCGACCGACCTGCTCGACTTTTTACACAAAAGGGGCGGATTAAGTTGCCAGTGTGTGCCGCCACGATTCCTACTGGACTGGCGAGGGCTTTTCTTTGTGTTCTCCGCTGCTACAGAGCCGCCACGCCGCGAGTCCCGCCTGCCTGCGAGAGCCCGAGCCGCCAGGCAGCGAGCGGCCACCGCGGCCAAGGCTGCGAATCCGTTCCGGAGCCAGGAGCTGCGGCGCCGCCACCCGCCGCGTCCCGGGGCTCCGAGCCCACCCTCTCCCCATCCCTGGGACAGGCCGCCGAGGAGGACCCTAAAACTGGGCTGAACCAAGGAGCAAAAGCAGTGAAAGCGGTGGCGTGCAGAGGACCGCGCTCAGGCCAGAGAATCGTCGGCAAGGGCCTTTTGGAAAAAAGTGAACCTCGCATCGCCTCCCCAAGGTGGCAGGGCGTGACCCCCGGAGCAGCCGTTCCCCTCTTCCCGCGCTCTGGGATTCTGAACTTATACAGGTTTGCGCTGTTTTCAACTTTTCCATCTAAAAACCCTCTTGGCTTTTGCGACCCGCTGGGGGCGGGGACTTCCGCGCCTCCGCTCCCCTCGGCCCCAGTCTCCGGCGCTCGGGGTCCGCAACAGGCCTGCAGGCCAGGCGCGCACCGGGCGAGGGTGGCTCTCGCGCCGCTGCAAAACCCGCTCCCTGCGAAACGGCCGCGCCCGCCCCTCCCCCGACGGAGAGGAACGCGAGCTTGGGTGGCGCCGGATCCTGGCGGCTGGGGACGTATCCGCCTGCGGACCTCGCCACGCTAGCTGCCCGGAATGCGCGGTGAAGACGCCCTGCGCCCTCGGCTCTCACCCTCCACCCCCCGACTCCTCCGGAAAAGAATTTTCTCTGAAAGGTTCCGAAATGAACGAGGCGCTGGGAAGGGAAATCGAAAAACCTCGCTATTACTCCTTTCTCTCCCTCCGGACCCTCGCCGCGACCAGGAAGGCTCCTTTGGGCAGCGGCCGTGGCGGCCGCGAGCCGGCCGGCTCTCTGTGCGGCGGAACGATCGGGCGGAGCCCATCTAGAACTGCTCGGGGAGGGGGCCGGGATGGGGGAGCAAGTAATCGGGGTTCGTTCGTGGTTACTCTAGAGCTGGGCGCTCGCTGACTGTCCAACCGGAGCCACCCGCGGGGCTCCCGCTGGACGCTGCCCGGTAGTCCGATTCTGTCTCGATTATTTATTTTTAATGCTGGGTGTCGATCGAGACAACAAGCGCTCAGAGCAAAGCAAGGACGCATTACGGGGGGAATTTTAAACCGATCGATAGGATTCTTTCAGAGAAAAAAAAAATCACACATATATAGTTCATCTTTTTCTTTAAAAAGACTTCTCGACATTATAACGGATTTTTAAAAGGGAAGATACATTATTTCTTAAAACCACAATCCTGAATTTCTTGCTAAAAAATGTAAATCCCCAAAGCCAAAATAAATAAAATAATAAAAATACAAAAAATGAAAGCAATTTCAGTTACTTACTGGAGGCTGTTTCCTGGATACAATTGAATGCAATACAATTAAATCAGTAAATGTGACTTTGTTTTGTATTCCTATTGGTATTTTCAATGTGCTGACTGTTGCACTGTAAATGCACCGCTTCCACAACAACGACTCTAGCGAGCCCATCCAGAGCGGCTCTCAAGCCTGCAGCCCGGCGCGGCGAGCCACGGGCCCTGCATACTAATAAGCTCGTGCCACTCACCCCCGAGCAGCCAGCGCGCTGATTGGCCGCGCGGCCCTCCACGGACGGGAGCTCGTGCCACTCATTTGGCGTAAACAGGCCTCCCAATAGGCTGGCGCCAGGCCAGAGAGCTGCCAATCAGGGAGCAGCAGGGCTACTACCATGCCGGATGGCGCCTAATTCAAGCCAGGCGACTGCGCAGCTCCTCTGCGCAGATCATTGCTGCTGAATGGGAATCTGTTGGCGCTGGGCGGGAGAGGAAGCAGGGGCGAGTGAGAACGCGTGTCCGAGCTCAGGGAAGGCTTTTTCTTTCTTTCATTCTTTCTTTCTTTTTCTTTTTTTTTTTTTAATCCTGCAGGTCTAACGTTTGGCTCCGGTGCACAGAATGCCAGGAGAAGAAACAATAATACCCCTAAAAGCAAATACCTTTTGGATACCTGGCATCTGTCTGGCAGGTGGCAGAACATTGGCTACGGTGGGCCCGACCTCTAAACCCAGAAACCTCATAGGCTTGCCCCGCTTACTCCGGCCCGAGCCCAGAAATGCGTGTCCTCTCACGTCTTGGCCACTCTCACACACGTCCTTTCCACTCGCATATAGCTGCAGGCCCTCAATTTTATCTCCCTCTGCGGGGCTTTGCAACAGAGCTACAATCCAAAAGGAAAATCGAGGATTTGTTGATAAGACAAGGATGACTTTTTTCTGCTCCTAGGTTTTAAAAATACTTCCTCAGTTAATTTTGGGGCAGGCTGACCTGGTGTGAGGACGGGGCACAGCATTTCTCAGAACCACCCTTCTGCATATCCCCTACATTCTCCCTACAGTGGAAAATAGTCACGGAACAGTTCTTTACCGTAATCAGAATCAAACCACTTTAAAAAATACCCTGCAAGCAAATATTTTGGTTAGAATTTTGTTTCCTATCCAAGTGGTATTTATTCTCGGGGAGCCGAGGTGATGTCTTAGTGACGAGCAATACATCATTTTTTACTCCTCTTTCTTCGCGTGAAAAAAAAAGGATGTTTAAACTAGATGGCAAAAGACACATTCACACGTATTAGAATTTCTTTATCGCCTGCTTCCGGCGAGGACGAGAAGGGGTTAACCCCAAGCCTGTTGTTTCCTTTCTGTCTCCGCCTCCCCTCCCCCGCCCGCTCCCGCGGGACTGCTAGGATTGGTTGGCACTCCGCCAGCAGGCTGTCACTCACTGAGTGTAAACAAGGCGCTGATTGGCTGTTGTCCAGTCCGCACAGGGCCTCCCGAAAAAAGCAATTACTGCCTCCGCGGTTTCAAGGCGGCCCAAGGCCGCTTGATGAAAGGAGATAAACTGGGGACCGTTTCCAGGATCCCCGCGGGCCGACCCCGGCAGCCCGGGAGCCAAGGTGCGGTGGAGAAGCCTAGGATCAAAGGAATCCACAGAGAAAAGAGAAGCAGGCAGACATCCTGACCAGCCTCGCCCCCGACGGGCTGCGCTGACCTGGGGTAGGGGCCGCGGGCGGGGCTCAGGGGTTCCCCTCCCGCCTGGGACCAGGCCTACTTCCGCGCCCGCTTTGGGCGTCGCGGCCGGGAGGAGCTCCAGGTAAGTCGGGCTCCGCGAACCGGACCGGAGGCGTAGGACATGGCGCGGAGCCTGGGTCTGCAGTCTCGGGATTTGGCTCGGTGACGCTGGTACCAGGACCCCAGCTCCCGGCCAGTCCCCGGCCGCCGCCTTTAGTAACACGGCGCGGTAACCGCTAGGCCCCGGGCGCACCCGGAGATCCTATTAGCACGCGGCTATTCATTAGGCTGGGGCAATTGAGTTAGGTCCTTGGGTGCGGGCCCAGGGGACGGCGCAGGCGTCGGGTGGGAGACGCGGACCACCGGGTTCGTGGTGGCCTCGGGAGAACGAGGCGGAAAGCCCTGGTCCTAGCGAATGTCGGGGGACCCGGGTCGATTCAGCTCTAGCCTGTCGGGCGCACGCGGAGGCCTCCCGCTTCGAACGCACACCGAGGAGACCACCCCGGCTGGGGAGAAACCGCTCCGCAGGCAGGGATCTGCGGTCCTAGCCGGTCTGAGGGTTAGCCGTGGGTTGGAAGTTCCCACCCCATATGTTGGCCTGCACAGGGCGCCCCTTGCAGAGGGCGCGTTTCCTTTGCTTGTTTGAAAGCTGAGTTTCCCATAGCTTTCTTCACTGAGCTTTTCGGATCCAGAAATCTTTTTTTTCTTCTTTTAATTTGTAGACTCCACTTGAAGTTTTAAAGTATATATATGATGTGTGTTCTATATATATGAATGAGAAAAAACATGGAGAAAGTTTTGGATCTAACAGCATACTTTAGTCCTCCGAGCTGCTAGGACCCCCAGAAGGTCCTGGGGGTCCAGCAGAAAAGACCTAGGTCTTCTAAAGCCCGCAGACACACAAGGGCAGGAGAAGGTCCTGGAGTCCGGCAGAGGGAACTGTGGTTCTAGCCCCATTTGGGCAGATGCAGGATTTCCCCTTCCCCAGTCTTCTCTCCAAACGGCTTTAGATCCTTCTGACAGCTTGGATCCCTACTTTAGGGGGTGAGAGCTGGTTTGAGAACCCCCTAGTGCTGTCCCTTATCTCTGGGAGAAGCCCTGACACCTCTCTATGCTCTTCTGGTCACATACAGCAGCTCCCTGCCCCCATCTCACAACCTCTGCTCCCCTCTTCTACTCTACGGTTCACTTAGCACAAATCCAGTGGGTTCCCCCCACCTCTTTCCCTCTCAATACTGCTTCAAAACAGTTGTTACAGCAGATAACTGCCTGGGGGCCTGCTTGATGCGGTGAGGGACTGGCAGCCACCCAGTGCCTGTACTGGCCCTCCACAGGACCAAAGTAAGCTCTCGTGTTCCCCTCACAAGACTCTGCCTCCCAACCTGGAGGGCCCAAGCATGTTGGCTGGGCTTAGCATCCACAAGGAGGAAACCTCCCTAGTTCCTTTCTTGATCTTTCCTTCTGTATTGAGCTAACAAATGTTTTCAATTTAGAGGAGCATGGTGTGGGGATGTGCAGATTCAAGGGCAGAAAGAAGAGAAAGCATAATGAACCCGAGGTCATTCTTGACCCTGGAATATCCAGGACTTTGTAGTCAGATAAATTTTTACAAAGGAGTGGGTTCTCAGTGGGGTAAGCCTCAGATGCCTATTCCCCAGCCCACACAGTCAGCAGCCTGAAAACCTTAAAGGGGCATCCTTGACCTCTCAGCCCCATTTCTCCCCATCAGGGGCATTGGCAGCTTGTACAGGTCTGGCAAGCACCATTCAGGGTTCCCTTCAGCCTCAGTGAAGATAAGTGGTTGCCACTCACAGCTGTGCCCTGACACCTGGGCACAGACACACATGCATACTCTTCATCACACGGTTGCACATACGTGAACATTTGTGCACAGCTGTTTGTGCTCTACTTACATGTATACATTTATATGTGCTTACACATCAGCCGTGTGTGCAAACATAAATCCATAACATACACTACATGTGAATCTCACATGACACATCACTCTCCCACATGCACAAGACACTTTTGAATCACACACCAACACAGGGGCCCTGTGCAGAAGCACTCCCCAAAACTACTGTCCTGGCCACAGCCTGGTGGCCACTGTCACCCCAACAAACCCCAAGACCTGCTACCCTGGAGACTCGAGCTTTGCTCTCTGACACACACATACTCCCAAAGACTGCCAGCACATTAGATCTCCCGGCTCCCAAATAGCTGTGGTCCTACTGTCCGAAATAATCATTTTTTTTAAATTGAGGGGAGTGTAAGGCGAATTATATAAAATTTTGAATTAGTCCCTGCTCCAGATAAATGCCTCCTTGGGCCAGAGAGCAAACAAGGAGCACTGCTGGGTAATTGTGTGTTGGGTGTCTCTCCATTGTTCCCTGGGCCATTAGTCAAAGGGCAAATTAGAAACAATTTCTTGATGACAAAAATTGACTCTTAATTCTTCCCACCAGAGGCTTACAGGGACAGGTCCAGTGGCCAGGCCTGAAGCTTGCATCTGGAGGGATGGGTGGTGATGTGCTGGGGGCCCACAGACCCTGGTTTGCACTTGGTCAACATACAAATAGGACCGATATCAGGACAGGACTGGAGGCTCAGGCAGGACAGGACTGGAGGAGTGGGCTAGAGCAGGGATTTTCAGAAGCTCCTAGCACCCTGAACCCTCCTCCATGTTAAGACAACCCTGCCCCGCCTCAAATCAGCACAGCTCAGGCGATTAAGGAATTTTCATTCTTCCTCTCAAATAAAGGGGTGGGTAAGGGTAAACCATGCCATTTCCAAGAGACTTCCTGGTTGCAGAAGCAGGGTCCTGAGTACCCCCCACCCCATCCTCTGAGGGAGGATCTCTACTACCACTGGGCGGGAGGGGTCTTTTCATCAGAGCCTTTGGCTGCACTGCATGGTGACAGTGGTGGGAACCTATGGCACGAGTGCCACAGCCAGCTGTTTGTTATTCAGAGCTCCAAAAGGTCTGTCATCGCTGGGTAGGGGGAAGGTCAGAGTTCCAAAGGAAAGCCCAGCTCCCCTTTCTTGCGCTTAACTCCCTGGAGCCCTTCTGGGGAAGATAGGGAAGCCCTTGGGACATCCAGAGGTCCTACATGGAGTGTGGGGCACTAGGAGTGGCTGCTTTTTTGCCAGTCTCCTGTCTTTGGGCCTTAAGCTGTTTTGGCCAGGCTTCTTTGGGAGAGGAGAGTGTCCCAGTCCCAAAGAGAAGCTTTCAGTCACAGCCCCTTTTATTACTTAGTCTGAGTCCAGAGGTAAGGGGGCAGGGCAAAGGGCTGCTGTATGGGAGTGTGTGTCCAGCTCCCACCCTCAGTGCCTGCTCTCTCCCAGCTGAGTCCCAAGGTAAGGGGCAGAAAGCAGAAGAGGAGGAAGGACTGACTGAGGAGGAAGGGTTGCCAGGAGCCAGGCCTGGAAGAGATTACTCAGTCACCTCCCTGGAGGCTGCTCATTCCCAGGACAGGTCCAACTCTG